CGTAAATACTGAGTGATTGAAACCAAAGTTCGTATAGCGCCGAAGACTCCGCTTCGCGGCGCTATACCATCTTTGATTGAAACGTTATCCGCCCTGAGCCGATGTACACCCTCACTGGCGAAAGAAAGACAGGTGGTTAAATAGTTTTCCAACCGGGCTCAAACATGCGTTCGGCGTGCACGTATAATTAAAAATAGTTGCGCGTACTCAGCGTGCTCCGCGTCAACGTGCATAAATTTGCGAACCTATGCGGTGCGTGAGTACTAAAGGACTGTCGATTTCATTTCAAAACACGCCCTCTTTTATTCATGCTCGGAGCGGATATAATGGAGATCAAGGGGTTACATGCATTGATCGCCATTTGCATGGAGCCATGGAACACGAAGTTAACGCACAACTTCTGCGATCGTCCAATGGGAGCCTGCAAGTCGTGGCGCGTCCATCTTTGTGACGAAGTAACTTACGAACGGGATAGGGAGTGCATACATCCTCCTCTTTAAAAATGCTGCACGCGCGCACGGTACACCACCTCAACTGAAAAAAGGAGAGTTACTCACATCCTTTTTCATTTAATGTTTCATGGTTCACGGTTGCAATGTTTCATCTGAAACCCAACCAGAAAGTGAAAAGAGGTCGGACAGAATTGTGTACTCATCATGTAGCCATATAGCCCTTCAGACCGAATACAAAACTTCATTTAAGAGAGATGTGTGCTGAAATTCTATGCTGCACCGTTCACGATACGCCTACCTCATCCCATTTTCAATGGCCAACTTGCCTCTTGTTCATACTTGCGAGCAGCAATCGCATTCGTGCAAATTGACTATAGACCCTTCCACTGAAAATAGTCCTGTACCGATGGGTGATCATAACCCATAGCTCCTGTATCACTAAATATTAGATAACTATGTATTTCCATATACTTTTTGGGGGGGATTATGCTCCTGACAGGAACACTTGCGCAGTGTGCGCCAACAAACACCTGGTCTTACCGTTGCGCAGCACTTATAGCACGCTGCACATTCCCTCAGTGACGTAAGCGTCTGGATCCTGCGGAAAGCGCCATCTGATGTACAGCGTAAGGAACTGGAGCAGCGCGTCATTTTCGAACTTGGAACGCTGCATCCAGGGGGAATGAACGTGAATTTTTCCGCGTTCATTCAGAACTGAATCTGCTTGCCCTGAAGAAAATACTCTATTACCGAAAGCTCGGCAATCACATATTTCAGAGCACTGATTTGATATTATATTCTCGTCGATAACCCTATGTGCATGCTGTGCACGTTTGCAGTGGGCGTGGTTTAAACTAAAGTGACGTCAACCGGATGGCACATGTTTACTTACACCCATAGCCGATGAATTTAAAACGAACGTTGTCCTAACATTCGCGCACCCTTGGCCGTTTTCCAACTCAACTTCATCTCCGTCTCAGGCTTCTGTAATATGTATTCAGAATTGCATATATTTATGGCCTTTAAAATTAGTCGTTAGAAGTCTGATAACTTTTTAAAGTGTTGCTGAATACAAAGAAAATGGGGGCGGGGCTGCTGAATCATTCCCCCGCCCCCTCAGAAAGTGGAGAGGGATATAGAGTGTATATCCCATCTCTGGAATTTACGCCCACGTGGGCATTCGATTACGGTTTTCCTGCAGCTATGCCATTTTGCAGTTACTTTTATATTGGTTACATATTGTAACTGCATATATTTCTTGGTGACATTTCCCGTGTGTGTGAGATACCAAAAGTACTTCTCACACCAAAAAAATATTTATATTTATATTTATTATAGGACGTAGTTGTTGATTTGCATATATGTCAATTAGGAGCTTCCAAAAAACTTTAGGGGTATTAAATTTTACTTGGTTTGTTGTTTAATGTCAATTTGTAATCAACTCATCTGGCATAATTACGAATGAATTTGATGCAATTTACCGTTTCAGTATGTAGTGCTAAAATAGGCTTTAATTCTGTTCCAATAATTAACTCATTTAGTGTTCGCTTAATAAAGTCAAGAAAAACGCGCAGACAGAAAAGGGTTATGGAAAATAAGGAAAATGGCCCACTGGTTCTTGGGGAGTTGTATATTTAAATAACTTTTCTTCTTGCATTCGTCATATCTGACACTGCACTAGCCGCCATCACTAACGAAAATCACTGCATGCGCATTGATTACACAGTGCATATCAGCGCGCACACGTTCGGGTACCGGGTCGCAGTTCGGGTCGTTCGGCGGCGTTCGGTTGTTATCCGAAGATCCGAGCATGGCAGATGAATAAGACCGTTCCCTTGGAAACTAGTTCCTCGGGGAGCTACAAGTGATTATCCACCTTCAAACCATGTTATTTTTGTATGCTGTCAAATGCTGTGCATCTGCGTAACAACATAACGATCTAAATTGCACACGAACACTAAACCATCATTTGGGTGGAATTAACACCGGGGAGGGACCATTTTCCAGAAATAAAGGGATTTTTATAGACTGAAATCATTTCACTAAAATTACCAAAATATTACTTAATGTCCTTTAATGGTCTCTTCTTGTCATGTATTTTCCAGTTTCATCAAAGAACTGCATGTTTAACCTGAATTTATATACAATAATTGAATAAAGTTCGAAATTGCTGCCATTTACTTCAGATTTCATAAATTTAATAGACTGAAAGGACATGGCGATTGCTCGGGCGTTGTCCTGTCAAATGCAAAAGTGCCCTCAGCGTTCAGAGTTGCCCACGCGATGAATATGATATAGAAAAGGAGTGAAATAATGCCAATTTTCAAGTCCAATCTCCATCGGTTATTATGAATGGCAACAAAGATAAACAAAACGGCAAACAGCAAAGAGATGGAAGTGACCGTCAGGCCTTCGGCGTTGGTTGGTACTGGTGTCCCCACAGGAATAGTCATCAAGCTCTTCAAGAACCAAACGAATCCAAGACAAATGAAGGTTTCAAAGATGTTACTACCGATAATGTTTGCCATGGCCATATCAGCAAAACCTGCAAAATGCGAAATTGTTTGAGTTAACGGAGACCTGCTTGAAAGTGTTTGTTCTTATTCAGCTCCGAAAAATCACCCCTCAAAACTTGTCAACTATCTCCCTGGCTTCATCTAACTTTCCTTTCTTTCATACCATCTAATCCGACTGACCAACTTAACGTTGAATAACATTATTTCACCTAAAACCATCATCTCACCAAAACTTACTTACTTCAGTTAACATCACATTCATCATCTCAACCCATCACATAATTATCTCATCCAGTGTCACGATGCACCTCCCTAAATCTCACTCATTCGATGCCGCCCAACCTGTCATACCTACACAGCGTATCAGATACTTAGCTCAACCTCAGCTATTTTACATAATTAATCTGACATCACTTATATAATATTTAATCATCCTTATTCAATACTCAACCAAACTTCGTTCAAAGGCCAATAAAGATGCGACATAAAACCCCGGTCCCGAGTGGACAATAAATAAATGAAAATACTCATGGCAGGACGAAGAGAAATGAAGCAGGTTTTAAAAATTAGAGGAGCACAAACAATTAACACATTTAAAAATACATTCATTTAGCCGCAGCAGCATAATTCATAAACATGTTCAGCAATGGGTGGTGCCCAAACTAAGCTGAAGGGAAGGGCAATTATGTTCACATAGACATGTACACACGTTCACCTGTTTTCTAGATTGGTTCATTCCTACTCTTAAAAACCACGTAGAATCCTAACAGAGCTCTATTACCAATCTGATCGCTAAAATCTTTCTATCTAACATCCAAATAACGGTGGAAGGAGACTTACCATCCTTCGCGACCAGAACAGACGCCACGGCATCTGGAACACTCGTGCCAATCGCTAGAACAGTGTATCCCATCACGGTATCTGGGACGCCTAGCGTGTATCCTGTTAATTTGAAAGTAAATTAATAAAGTCAATAAATGATAAAAATGGCATCTCACAATACATTTGAATTTCAACGTTTTAACTTACCTACTACAACAATCATCCAGTAGAGAAGATACGAAAGTCCAGCCAACCATATGCACGATGCAAAGAACGTTATAGGATAACAGCGCCGCCACACGCCTGATTTGCGACAGTCTGGTATAGTATAGTGTAGCAGGACGATGATTGGAAGGCCTAGAAGCCAAGTGATGTACAGCCAGGTGGAAGTAGGTGCATCAAAGACAGAGGGAACTGCAATTTCGCTCTCGGATTCATCTGATGATGGATCATCTGGAAAATCTTTGCACAAAAAGAAGATTTTTTAAAGGGGTCTTTAAAACCCATTAATAGGCCTACACCCAGGACTCCTTAACTTGGAACTTGGAAAGCAGCGACCTATAAGGAACTTAAATTAACTTATATCCCAGGCTGTGTTCCAATCAGTACCGTAAATGTTCTTGGGGTATAAAACAAGAATCGAGGACAGCGCAGCCACATACGTATACACTTTATAGAGACATACCTTGGAATTGCCCCCCTCCCACTGTTGAGAGTTGAGTGCTGCCCCTCCCCCCGGAAGAAGATGCTCATTTGTAGAAACTGAGAATGCGAACGTTAGACTCTGAGAACTACACAGTTGTATTTTTTCTGTAAATATCAGTCGACATCCATGGATGGTCAATCATCTATAAGTTGGGGACGAGGCAACCAATGAGTCAATGCCAAGGTAAAATTCGTACAAATCGGTCGGATTCAGCAGTGATGTTGCACCTTGAAAAAATTAATTTAAAAGTCTTTAATTAATGTTGAGTTTTCACAAACCTGGAATGTTTAGCCCATACGATTTTCGGGAGGTACCACCATCACCAATGTCTTCCATTTCATGAGCGACTATTATTGCCGCTTCTTCCATTGCAGCCTGAGTTCTTTCCGATGTTTCATCTCTTGGCGCTCGACATGGAAAGATCGTGGTGTTTGCACTCCACTTTAAGACAAAAGCCGAAAGAGGTTGGTTGAAGTACATGATCACGATGTAGCCCACAAAACAAAGTGTCATGATGAAACCTTCCCACCTGAAAATGGAAACATACCGAAACCAGATCAAAAAGTTGTTATACAGTGACGAAGACACTGACAATGGCAATGAAAACAATGAAAATGTCATTGACTACAACCACGACACCCGAGTACACTTTGTACTTGACTGTCCTTATATACACCGAACTTTCTGAACTTGTGAGAAAAGGGGTAATTAGTTTGGCAAAACTTGAAACTTCAGGTCTGCTGCCTAAAGTGCCAGTCATTTCACAGAGATAACTGGTCTGAACGTTTTCGTTTCGGATTGTTCTCCCCTAAGACAAAAGGGAATGGTGTTAATTAATTAAAGTGAATCCACCTTTCTGAAGGTAAAGCTATAGAACAACCAATTGAATCTCAAAATCTTTATTAACACTCACAGTTGAACAAGCGATTTACCGTGAGTAAATAACAGATATTCTCTTTCTTCTGAAAGTTGTTACTCCTGCCCTACACCCTTTTCAAAAGCATTAACGTTCTGATGCCAGGGGCAGATCCTGGAATTTGTCAGGGAGGGGGGTCAGGCCGGAGATCTTGTAATGTCTCATTTTTTAGTACAAGCGGAAACGTTTGCAGTGGTATTTGTGCACTTCAGTTCGATAGTATTTTCCCTATATTTTAACTTGAGGGGGAGGGTCTTAGAGTAGGGGGTTCGAACCCCCCCTCCCCCGATCCACGCTTGCATGCTTATCTAAACCAGGCAGTTTCTTCGCGGGGATCTTACCATTGAACCATGGCGTCATATGTTACAGCTATAAGGATAGCAGTGGAAATGACCCAACATATTGTATCTCTGATGACTGGATACCAGGACAGCTGCAAACCTCCATTCTATGTTTAAAAAGACAATACGTTTGTATAGTAAGTACACCGTATAGGCCTAAAGTAGGGAATAAAGTTGTGTAGGGCATAATTTCAAACTGTATATAGGCCTAGGGGCATGCTGTTGATAATGGGCCAAGCCAAACCATATACATTGTCGACGCTATAGGACCGTGACATTTTATTTTCCATTCATGGATACTGTCTCAGCTGAAACGTCTAAACAGTTTCAAAGCTCAGTCGTATTCGGCAATCAGTCATACAGGCCGCCATTGCCCCAATAGTGCATGTTAACAAACGTTCATTTCGTTTCCTATATAAACAGTTTAAAATATAATTGTTTTTTTAAATTCATATCTGTACGTTTATGGCTTCTTGCATGTTTGCCAAAGGTCCATGCTTGATGAAAATCAATGTGAAATAAGTGGCTCTTTTTAATTAGGAATCATAATAACAGGCATATTAAAGTACTGAATTTATGGCTAAACCTTTTCACCCGCTCACTGTTTATGAATATTGATGACTGTAACTCTTTATAATTTTGATTTTTTGTGTTTTATTTTATAAAAAGCCGCAAATAATTTAAATATACACCAAGGGCTTAGATATACTATTATAAATCGAATTGAAAATTTAGGAGAAATGACAAGGGATTATAATCAGGAATGAAAACACCTGGGGGAAGCTATGACATTGCTACAGAAAAAAAAAGTCTTTCGTCTTACCCCACCAGCAACCAACGCGCAGAGAGCTATGACAACGAACACATTAAACGCTGATGACCCAACGATGGCGCCCAAACCTGTATTGTCGTGCGTTATAAAGGTACCTGCAAAAATAGTTAGAATAGACATATAGTGAAGCACCGCATGTGAGGATGAATCACGGCAGGGTTATTTCTATATATTCGATGCTTCGTTTTCTTGGTCTGTGAACTTGGCGGAACAGTAAAACAAAACAGCAGGCCTGTATACGAAACGGTCAAATCAACAAATTAATCTTCCATGAAATATGCAAACAAACATATGCACTGTCGACATCTCGGTATTAATAAAACACCCTTGGTTTCTGGTACTAGAAAAGGACTATTTGTGACATTCACAACAAAGATGGTTCTTGTTATGTAAGGATTAAGTACACAGGAACAAAGATGCGGCAGATACTTCTCTGGCATAACCTTTCATAACTAAATCGATCGGCGTTGGCCAAGGTAGCTAAAATACAGTGTGCAGCCTATTCCAATACTAGAAACCATTGGCAATTCACGAAAGCATCACTCCAACATGGTATCCTAATGAGTAATTAGCTTCATCAATAGTCAGACAAAGTGGAGCAGTTTCCTGTAATATTTGCCTGCTGTATGCATGACAAAATACCAAAACTTATCACGAAATACTCACCGACAGCACTCGAAAAAAACTCTGGAGCCGAGCTGCCTATTGCCATAAATGTAGCTCCGGCCACGTCCTCTTGAATGCCCCACACTGCGGTAAATTATTGTCAAAAATACTAAGAAGGTGCACGATATTAGGGCCACTTTAATTCTTAAAAGCCTTTTCCCAATCCCCTACGACGCCTCCACTCTTGTTCAGAAAGTATAGCAATTGGGCTATCAATGACGTAGCATGCTATATGATGCTATCAATTACAAATCACACTTCCATCAAAGTAGCTATAAAAAAGCTACATGTCACACTTTTTCCGTGTAAAACGTGTTCCAACCCTTCCTTATGTACAGCCACTGCTCATGTACAAATTTAAACATCTGCATTTGTAACCCTTCGAGTCATCTGATCAGCTAAAAAAAACATTGGGCATACAGCGTTCATAAATCTTTGCAAAAGCTCCATTATTGCCGACTACAACGAGTAAACAATATAGGGTCTGACTGGCCTAGGGGCTATAGCTCCACATTTTTTCAAGGGTTTTTACTGCAGGTGTTTCATTTTACCAATTTTTTTTCTCGAATCGATCCACTCATTGCGAGAAAATAATGTCACATCAGTCGATCAGGTCATGTCCCTTGCCCTAGTTTCACAATTGAATATATTGCCTAACTATATCTTTTATATGCACACAGAAGAGAAGACAAACTAACTTTTACTTATGATTTCCAGCGAGGGCACAAAGTAAATGAAGCACACATAACCAATGGCGCCGAAGAGATAGACAGCGAAGAAAAAATTGAGTATCACAGCCCCATTTTCTCTTTGCCTCTCGGAAAACAAGGTACGTGGGAAACGACTGATAGCGGGTATGGTGCAGTTGACCTCAGCCTCGTTACTCGCATAAGTGTCGACTTGTTGAAGTTTCCTGCCGATCCACTTTTCTGAAGGACGAAGGATAAAGAATACTGGTTAAAAACCTGGAACAGGAAGCTAATTTACACAATTTCCTTGTTCATTCTGCCCACCACAAGGGCAGCGTAGTGTCGTAATACATAAATACATGAACTCACTTGTAGAACAGCCCCCATAGGGACACGTGAGTTGGGCAAATGAAAAAAAATATATTTGAAACGTTCCCTCTAAATATTTTTTTCATTCTCAATTACAGATCTTTAATTGAATTTATCTTGAATACTTTAGCCAACCCTGATGCATATTATTAGATTGGTGCACTTTTTGAATTTTTATAGGGGAGGAAGTAGCTTCAAGGTACCTAGACCCACGTGATGTCAAGAGCTCCCTTATACTTTCCTTCTCCGTTCCGAAGTCCGTTCCCAAAACGCCAAAGTCCGTTACAGCTCATGGGTTGGTAATTACTACGTGTTGCATCGATGCATATTGAACTAGACATTAAAGTTCATTCCGTGGTTTTGGGGAGAAAAGAATGATACCTACTTTGAGACATCAAACGCGACACTTTCATGATTAGGCAGTAACTTCGATTTTCACGTTTACTTGACATGCAGACATTTTGTAAATAAACATTATACGCGAGGGAAAATAATGATTTTAATATTAATTGACGGGGAAGCTGCGAGATCGTTTTGAACATCTGTCGAATGAATGTAGATGAAGAGGAGCTTCCTCTTTGTGGTCAAACAGGGGTTAGCTAATCCCTCATTTAGTTAGTAGTCCATCAACGTCATTATGTACAGACGTCCTGCCAAACTGGCCCCCGTTGATGGCGGATTAAAGATTACGGGGAACTTGTAATTACGGGTAATACACCGCGAAACGCTCCCCTCATTAAATAGGGATAACAAGTAACAAAAATAACACAGTTAATAAGCTACATTGGAATGCAGCTAGCGAGTTTATTTAGTGAAAGTCGTCAGAAAACTCTTCAGAATGATCCAATTGCTATCAACTTTGGGGATGTATATTCAGCATGTCGATTTGCTTCCGTCGCCGTCCCCTTTTAATTCTATCCAGAACCTGTACCGTTACACTCCGTTACTTCTCACCACCGCTACATACCAACTTGCTTGCTGAGTTTTGCTCGAATATTACCACAAAAAGCAGAAGTCAGTGAAACTTAGGGCGTCGTTGGGAAAATGAAAGGTTGGATGGAAAAGCGTTCTTCTGTTAATCGACATAATCTTCTTGAGATGAAACATCACGGAGAGACGTTGATATCTCGTCGCTCCCGGCTGTGGTTAGCAAATGTAAATAATTTGATCTTCCGTAGTGAGTAAGAGAAAGAAATGAATATTCTCGAAGAATAATTAATGTTTCGATGGAACGAAATATTATTTCGAGGGAACGACACCCCCCCACGATAATCTTCTGCCGACTTGTTTTCACTGCCTTTCCCTCCAGGGACTTCATATAATACTGTGGATTGCGACATTTTCTTGCTTGTTTAAGTAAGATTGGGGTTTCTCCACTTCTATGAATGTGCAGAGTTAACTGACTTACCGATATCCACAACCTTCCCCAGTTTCTTGTCTGCTGTGCCCAGAGATATATCCTGTTTTTCTTTTCCTGTCTTCCACAATGGACTTAAGGCAAAATTGACGAAGAGACAAAGAGACAAAATCGAGACCTTCGTTAAGACAATCAATTTTACATTTGCCATTCTATCAGGAAACGTCATGCGTGGTGCCGTTGAGGCGTGGTGCTTGCCTCCCAAACTAACTAAGGTTCTGAATCTCTACTTTGCAGGTGACGATGTGCCCTTCGATAATTCAGACTGATTGTAAACGATATACCCGTTTATGTGAGTTGCCATCTGCATAAATCCAGCTATTTCCACACGAAGCATTGTAGTAGACACTCGTGCGTTTTACTCATGAATAAACATCCGAAGCCTAAGATTTACCTACCTGTATTTTGCTTGTATTTTTGCTGGTTGTACGTGCAACGTGGCTGTGTGTATAATACTATGCAAGTATCAAAGATTTCAGCACGAAAACTCTGATATAGAATGTATAGATTTGCTGGTAGTTTGCGGACTATATCCAGCATTTTGTTTAGAAACAACTTTCAGTGTATGAGTATACAACCTACTCATCAACGCAAGGTAAAACAAAATTCCCTGGAAGTTTAGAAAGTGCGTGAACAATCCATAAGTTAACTTTTTCTGAACCATTCTGTATTTGTTTATTCATAGCTTAATATTATAACAACATACAAACCATAGGAAAACATATTAAAACAAAAAAAATAGATAGAACAGGATTCGAAGCTGCGAACTTCGAAACACCGTACCGATGCTGTACTAACTGAATGCTCTACTAACTGAATTTACCCAGCCTTACGTTGGGAACTGCATGGGCTTTCATCAAGTACTATGAACCGCCATATTCATGCAGTGACATGCCCAAACAAACCCTGACCTTAAGCCCAACAAATCCACCCACTCACTTCTATCTCATGTGAATTATCAGGGGTGCTTCCGTTCGTGCTAGCCCGCAACGCTCAGAAAGTTGCATGACATTGCATGAAAGTTAACTCAGCCTAAAAGTTTACAGGGACACTATTTCGCAAACCGAACATCGTGCAAGCAAGTTACCGGGTAAAATTTGCAAACGGTTGGTGTGTCAATTATATGAGCCGGGGGTAAACCCCGACTTTTTCGTTATTCCCCTTTAGTTTCTAAATAACTGTGCAAAATCGCAATTACACATCGATGTATTGCAGAGGAAAAGTCTGATCTGATCTTGTCAATAAATTATTGACGTCAATGCCCACGACAGAAACTTGCGACTTCCGAACGGGCTGCACATTTTCCTCAATAAGCCGGGTTGCTCGTATTTTTGATGTACACACATAAAGTACTGAGCTTAACTTGTAGACTTGATGTCAATTTATAACCGACTGGGTCAAGTTTAACATCAATATCAACGATTTGAGGCGAAGTCATTTGTATGACGTACATGAAAATAATGACGCAAGTACTGGCGATTTCTGATGTCCCTTATATACAGCTACCAGAGTTAATGAACCAACACGCTGCAGCTTTCTTCAGTTTTACCATGGATGGTTTTTATCATTAAGTTGCATTTTGGGGTGAATATTGATGTCATGTTAAACTATTCCCACAAAACAAAATCCTCCCCCCCATTCGAAGTGATTTTTCCGAAGTCTTCTTGTAGCCATTTTTCAAGTGGCAACCCTCAAGTTTCTGGGCCACTTAAGACCATTTTTAACCGTATTTTTTTAGCCATTCTTTTCTCAGATAGAAGCCCAAAGACCCAGGGAGTTGATCCTGGCAAAGATTTACACAATGTTGGGGGCAAAACAATCTTCTTTTTCAAAAAATACTGTGGGGTGCTGTTTAACCAGGAATTGTCATTTCGAATTAATTGACTGCACCCCTCATAGTACTTTAGAATTTGAGGAACAAGTCCCAACCTGCTCAACTTCACAATGACCTCTTCTATAAGGGTGACGTGATAGGATGGAACTAGGATCAAACTAGCATTGTGAAATAAAGCTTCAACCAATCAAAAGGCTCCATTATACTCCCCACCCCGTACCAACGGGACCTGAGTGAGAATGGTAGCAGTGTTAATCCCTATAATATCAAGTGCAATGGTGAAATGTCGTGTCAGCAGTAGGTAATGTGTGCTTAACGGACCCCCTGTAGGTCACCCAAAGAACGGGACGCCATGAAATGTCACACAAGAGATTCATGGACGTGGGTGTATATAAAGCTTGGAACATGATCAGTGATGTGAACATTTTGCAACCAGGGTGAAGTTGGTGCCAGTTTGTTCAGCCTGAGGGTCGTGCAGCTGCTGACCTTGGGGCATATCGTGCAAGTAAGGCAGAGTGGTTCAGTAGATTGAGATCGACACTTGGACGATACATGCCGGGCAATCGAGGGGCTTGCAGGACTTAGGACTGAGAGCTAGTTTGATTTCTAGGAGTACCTACACGATCTGTTCAAGCATCACTGTTTTGTCACAATGGCCTCCAACTTTGTCTGTTTTTTGCTCTTGGCTTTCGTCTGCGTCACCACGGTACAAACCAAGGAAAACACAAGTAAGATTCTTATTACATGAATTTAATAAAAGATGTTATCTGTCTTGGCATCGGAGGAGCTTTGGAATAAGGTGATCTCAGAGTGTGTGCAAGGCTCACTGCCCGTAAAACAAAATTCACCGGGCTGCGTAAGAACCGCACTCGCTCATAGCACACCGCGCAAACTGAGGCCTATATATCCATGGAAGAGGCTTATCAAAGATTGCAAATCATAACTGTTCTGTCATTTCGAACAGTCGAACAATTTTACATTACATTTTGCCGTTGTTTGCAAGTCTTACCATGGTGAAAAAAATGTGTCCATGGTCTCACATTATCATACTAACTCAGCAAGCTTGTAGCAGTGAGAAACCCAATTGAGCGATGCGAACTTCCACAAATAATTGGGTTGAATGCATCAAAATGACAATTGTAGGAACCTGACCGAGTTCATTAAAGGGCTGTTAATTTATTTACCTGCAGCTATACTAATCGACAAATACATGCTAATTTAGCCGTTTCCATAATCATTAATCATATGTACGCATACCTTTAGCGTTCCAGTCAACAAAGGTCAGCCAAACCATTGCTTGACCATTAACGTTAATGGCTGCGCGGCTTATTCACATCAAATTCACAACAATTCTTTACAATCCGCTTTAATTTAATTTTTTTGCGCATCATAAAATGTGGAGGGGGTGATTCAATAGCCTCGCTCAATAAGTGGGGGGATATGTACCCCCATCCCCCGGATTTACGGCCATGCTTTTATCTGAAAAGAATGTGAACAGAACTTGTAACACGGACTTGGTAATTGATGAGTGAATAGAGGAATCAAGCTTACCATTTAAATGGATTAGGCCTACATGCCCAGTCGTTTTTTCTAAATGGTCGACTACATGCATGGTCCAAAGTCGACACTAGAGTCGTCGCTCGACCCATGAAAGAAGGAATGATGTTCGAACTAGTCAGGTAATTTTCATAATATAGGCTGGTGGTGGTACAGTTCATCTCAACGAATTATTGACAAGTTTATTTGTTTTTAATATAGGACTGGTATTTCGGACAGACAAAAGATCAACAACGCAATATCTTTTGGCTATTAGCTCGACTCTTTAGAAGCACAACATCGCAAATTACTCAACAGCATTTATGACGGTTAATTTGCAGTGATTTCTGGTGAGTGGTAAAGCCACGTCCAAAAGTAAAGCCGTTCTCAACTCTCATTCTCATCTCCCCATGCCATGAGAGATAGAACTGAGCTCCGGTTTCCAAGCTAGACCCGTGTCAAGGTCTCATTTTCCACGTTAAATTATTGTATATAGTCCATAAACTTTTACTTTCTTTTCAATTTTCTGAGGGTTAACCGATTACATTTTGAGTTATTCCCTCAAAACAAAATTACCCCCCAAAAGTGATTTTTCAAAGTCTGCTTGCTGCCATTTTTCAAGTGACAACCCTCAACTTTCTCGGCCACTTAGGACTATATTATTAGGACTATATTTTTTAGCCATTCTGCTCCCTGATGAAAGCCCAAAGACCAAGTTGATTCTGGCAAAGATTTACACAATCTCACCATTTTGGGGGCCATGCGATCTCCTTTTTCAAAAGATACTTTTAATGCTAATGAGCTGGCCAGAAATTCTCGCTTGAATTAGTGGACTGCACCCGCAAGTGAACACTACCGAGCGACACGAACTGGGACCCGACATATGCGCAGTGAATCCCGTTTTGGTTCACTTCATGGGTGCGCTGATCACGGCGCACATAGAGGCGTTTGTGCACTCGTCCGTGCGAGTGCTTCAACGTGCTTTTCGCTGAAGTAGGCTAGTCTAGTGTCATGTCCTAGGCTAGTCTGGCGCCATGTCTGAAGGGTATAAGAAGAAACGACAAAGAACAAATGGTATCTAGGAGTGGGTCGTATCCTCGGATAACAGAATCGGCAGCGAATCGGCTGGGGGGGGCGTGGGGGTGCACGCCCCCCTTGAAACATCGTCTTCCCAGTCCCCCCCCCCCTTGCATTTCGGAAACCGAAAAGTCTTCAAACCCACGTTCCTAGTACTGAGGCGGACGCCATTATTGATTAGGCCTACACAAATTGCAAAATCCAAATCAGTTCCCCGCTGACCCCCCCCCCGTGCTCAGAAACTAGACATCTGTCGGTATAGCTAGGTTCTAAAATGAAAGGAAAAGTCGCAGCATTGATCCCACGGAAGTAAAACCATCGTAACAGGTCAGACTTATGGATTTGTCCTTGTCCGTGTTTTCCAAGTTCCTGTAGGGTGATGATCAGAAAGTTCTGATCATGAATGCAAACATAATAGCAGTCGTTTGCCCTCCGTTTTAGATCGTGTTGAAAGTAGGTCCCCAGAAAATTGCATGATTGGAAAGAATAGATTTGTCGCAAGAAGCATGATTTCTGCTAACCAATCACCATGGCGAAATAAATGATGAATGGTCGTCGTGTATAACTCGCTTTAAGTGTCCTTTAAGATCTGGTAGCCTAAAGGCCTGACCCTGAAACTCCGATAATTGAGGCTGACTCAAACCTACGAGAAAGGACACAATGACAGACGGTGTCCTTTTTCCCAGGGTCGGCCAAAGTAATGTACGCGCACAGTTTGCGTGTACATGTACATGTACATAATCGCCGTTGATCAATACGGGATTAAGGGTTACCCTGAAAAGTGTGAGTGACCTTAGCTGTTAGATGAAGTGGCACAGGTGACTGCTGGTTGGCCTTGATTAAGGCGCATGGGCTTATGCATTCTACCCGCTGAGCAACCTTGTGGGCCTATAACATATGGTGTACTATTTACGACACACATTTCTGCCTCTCTCTAGGCTACAAAACTGCACGACGCGACGGCAAGACGGCTCCCTTGCATGGTGCGATGTCGTCGGCTAAGCTGAATTACGTTTGTTCACGACGCGTCGCTTTGTGCGTTGCGCTGTGCCGTTGCCCGTCGCGTCGTGCTGTCTCCTTTCCTTGTTGCCTTTTTACTGCCTAAACGTCGTTCCTTCCGTCGCCCGTCAAGTTGCACCGTCGAGCGTCGCGTCGTATGTCGTGTCGTGCGTCGCATATTACGTCGCCTGAAGCACGACGTGACGCACGACGCAACGCACGACACGACGCACGGCGTAATATGGACGGGCTGCGTAGCACCGCGATTAGAATATTGACAAGAATATAATACCAAATCGGTGCTCCGGAATATGTGATTGCTGAGCTTTCGGTAACTGAGTACCTTCTTCAGGGCAAGCGGCGTGACGCGTCGTGTGCTGTCGCACATTGTTTCTTTTCATTTCTGTCCCCCGTGCTTGCAAAATACATGCCTTAAGCCGCGGGCCTTGATTTTTTCTTGTTTTTATTTTATCCATTTATCAATTTGAACTAGTTTCTGTCATATTTTATAGGAAAAAAACAGAATAGAAAATCCACGTATGTAAGAACTGCTGTCACATATTAACCGTCATAATAACCATAATAACAATTAACCGTAAGCCCATAATTCATCACTCTTTAATTACCTGGTCGATCCTTGTTCTAATTTCCGTTCAATTTCTTTTTAAAACCGTTATGGAAGTTCCCACTTGTGGTAGGTTTGTATAAACTATTTCTCTGTGGTTCATCCCGGTAATTTCCAAGCAGTACTCCCACTCCTCAAGACAATGACCGCAAGTTTGACCACGGGTTTGGGAAGTTACCACCCAGCCCTTGCTATGCCCTCAGAATATTCCATCGTCAGTCTCTTTCTGTTCAGTCTTCCTCGTTTAACAGATCTGCATGTCACATTAGCAAGCACGCAATAATGATTTATTTATGTCTTAGAATGGATTCACATTTGATTAGAAAGATCAGAATGAGAACAGGAAAAGCTCAGACATTTTTGTGGCTGACGTTAATGTATTTATGGAGACAATGCTGGTAGTTGGTCGCGACGCTCTTTCTAATTCTATTTAATTTTAAAAAATCAAGACAAAACCCCCCAAAAAACTTTTCTTCAACAACTCGCTCTTAATGAAAACACAAAGTTGGAATGAATGCATGAAAAAAAACCATAATTAAGGCCTTCTTCCTTTCATACCTATTGCGTGTGCAAGCACGGGGGACAGAAATAAAGGAAAACAGTAAGGCGCTCTCTATGAGCACCATGAAGCAAAGGGCGACAGCGCACGACGCGTCACGTCGTGTGTCGTGCTTCGCGTCGTACTTCAGGCAACGTAATACGCGACCCATGGTACGACATACGACGTAACAAATGACGCCTGCTACCCGACGGGCGGCGGAAGGAGCGACGTTTAGGCAGAAAAAATGCAACAAGGAAAGGACGTAAGACGGGACGACGCGGCAGGCGATGGCACGACGGGACGAACGATGCAACGCGTCGTGTGTGTACAAACGTAATGGCAAAGAGACGGTGGTTCGACGCGACGGAACGACGCAAGGGGGCCGTCGTGCCGCCGCATCGTGTTGTTGCCTCGCCTTGGAAGAGGCTAGACAGGGCATAAATGTGTGTCGTAATTGTTAACCAGTGAAGGACGGGTAAAACCTGCTTATACCGCGCTGTGGGCATCTAAGTGTGTAAACGCCTGCAATCTTGGACTCCCTATTGTTCCTCTTTTGTTCATTCTTTAACTTTTTCGGAAGACCTCCCATATGTTTTGTTCACGTTTTCCAACTGTGGACTCTTCGGCAACCGTGGACCCTATTGTTCCGTTTTGTTATAAGTCCACGATTTGAATGTGTATACAACTCAACCTTACACAGCTACCTGTGGGGTATTCCCTTTGTTCTCGTGCATGTACAAAACTCCCACACAACACGCAAAAATTTTCATATCACTCCCATTTGAACCAGATTCACTTTCCTACTTTGGAAATTCGACTCAACGTCCCTTATTTGAAATACTTCATTTTTAGACGGATAAATGGCACTTGAAAATTCTTCCTTTTTGAGTAAGTTTGAAATATCTATTTCGTGAAATCCTTGTCGGGTACCGTCTCAGTACCTCACAAGTACCCATTGGGGTACTTCCCATTGTTCCGGTACCCACAAGCCCCTCTATACATGCGTGTAACTAGTCAAGCATGCAGCGTTTGCACGTGCGCTTGCATGATATGGCGTGCAAAATTAACATTTAATCCGTGTATACAGATATCTCAATTCCTAGATGTGCCAATTTAACATTTATTCCCGGAATAGTGATATCTCTATTATTAATAGAGCCTCTATTCCTAATTGAGATGAGGAATCGAGATATCTCTTTTACGAATAGAGATATCTCTCTTTTAGGAGTGGAGATATCTGTATACTCCATACTTGCACGTGGTTGAAGCTGCCTGTAGGAATATATGCGATCACCGTGGCCAAGACGGTCCACGCGTGGTGGTATTGTTTACATTTAGTCACGTGGGTGAAAAAGGTCTATAAAGCCGCATGGCTCGTTTCCCCAATATTAATAACCTAAAGCACTGGATGCTGAATATTAAAATTTTTGTCAGACCAATTAAGTTGCAGTGAGAAGCGAACAAAACACAAGTAGGCCTACCTATCCTTCGTACGCCTCTTTTATCTGTCGATCACAGTAAAGTAAAGTAATATATTTTTCTGAACGATTAATCGATAAATCGTTTATGGCATTTTAATTCAAATCAGTGGTTCTTGAGTTAAATTTGAAATAAACAATTAATGGCGAAGTTTTTTTTCTCAGTAATGGCGAAGAAAGGGCAACATATGCTATCAGTTCCTGCTTGATTTGTGCATCGCGACCCGGGCATCGCGTTTCCTCATTTACGTACACTCGGCAGGATTCTGCCGGATTCATTACCCGCGGCCCCTATGAGTATATCGGGCAAGATATGGGACGGAGGTACCCCCCTTACCTGTCCAACCCCTATACACACTGCAGACAATTATTACCTAACATATCCTCCCTAGAAATCTGTAAAGAATTCCTGAGATTCCGATCAAACAAAAAGGTGGGGGTCTCTCTGTCCCGTATCTTGCTTCAAATGTCTTTGGGTGCATTCCACCAAATGGTTGTAGTTTCTGCGCGCGAGCTCATTAATATTTTGTGATCCCACGGGATTTTTACAATAAGACAGGTCATAATCAGGTGGCATTTTAGGAACATTTCTAAAAATCTCGAATTTAGGACTAATACGTACACTGCAGTTTCCAGTTCGGGGTATTTCTTTCACAAAGCCCCAAATTGCGGACCTTTTTTTGATAGAGGCGTGCGGCTACATTCAGAAATGAGCGCTTAGTTTTACTGCTATCTTGGGGGTGTCTTCGTTCAAAGGCGATTAAAAAAATTTCGTGGCTAACCCCATGAACTTGAAACGATCATCTGCATGGCCATAATGTTGAATTTCCAGTGAAAACGGAGGCCAACCTCTTTACGAGAGTCAACAGGCGGCGCTATTTTGGTCCGATTTTGCTCTGTTTTCTATGGGCGCGTATTTGGTGTAGTCGGAGGACGTCTGTCAGACGTCTGGAGACTTATAAGTACAGGATGGGAACCAGTCTAAGAGCGGGACACTTGATTTATCATTTGCAGCGGCAAGCTAGGTATGAGACGAAGAGAACCCCCCCCCTGCTTTGTGTTGGTCATTGTCTCACAGGAATCTGGGGAATTCCTTTCAGACATCTTGGGGGATGTGTTAAGTAACAATAGTCTGGGATGTGTATAGGGATTGGACATGTTGGGGGGGTACCCCTCGGTCTCATTTCTTGCTGGGTATACTAATAAGAATAATAGGCCCTATGCAACTGTTGCATACCCAGGTGTAGCCCCAGACTGGGGGCCAGTCTACTGGACACCTTCTAGTGAATCGGCGGAATGACCTGACACTTTCATTACTTTGCCATTCGGACCATGGAGGTAGAATCATTCTACCTCCATGTTCGGACAAAGCTGTGCACAAACCTAAGTGTGATACCTGTCTGAAAATAACCTAGCCCTAAAATTACATCATGGTCGATGGTTAGGCCTAAGAAATTAGTAGGCTAAGTGTTTTCTTATGCTTCAGAATTTTCTGAGCTACATTTCACATTTTAGGACATATTGTCACTTTCTGACAGCAGTTGTAACAGTTCAAGAGAAAATTAGTGTTGTTCGTATGTATATCATGTGGAACTTTTTCCCTAATTAGGAAAACGAAAGCACATCACTTGACACCTATCATGCCTATCTCCAGAAGTCCGTGGAGTCCATCATCTGCCATGCTCCCACACCGTGCTCCTGTTCGTTGAAGCGCTGCGGACAATGGAGCCCAGGGGGTAACTTGACACCCTGTGCATAAAGTAAACGAGACTGGTTTGAAATATTCATCAAGTTTATGGACATGATGGACATCACTCACTTCATAGTCTATACTTTGGCTAGCCTTGATTTGATATTTGTCACATGAATGCATGTAGTGTGTCTTTACATCGCCCCATATACCAAAAGGCTGAAGGTGGAGTGGTACAGGTGTGTACATGTATGGGACTGACTATATTATTCTGTGTTCCACCATCGCAAGCGTGAACCAATTTATCTTCAAGCTTGTTGCGCAGTAAAGATATTATAGTGGCCTATGTGCACAAAATTTGCCATCTTTGAATTAAAAGTAAATTTTGCAGTTTTCCTTTTTTTTTAGCGTAAACATAACACATTGCGTGGAGTTCAAACCGTGCATTACTCTGTTTTTGATGTGGACCATGCAATACAGTTGTGTCACACTTTTCATTGATCAACCAATCAGCATTGAGAATTCAAGTTTGCCTGAAGATGATATCACAACTTTGGCTAGCTCTTGACCACAGACTGATAGACAGTCCTCCAGCCCTAAAATGATGATTCAGAGGACAGCCTACACTGCATTCCTTTATGTAAAAACTGGTGCCCATAGAAGTGACCTACATGTAATTACTGGGTCTAGGAAGGGCCCATTGAATGCATCTTATGCATGCCCCCTGCATTCTCATTAATAAAATGAAATATTACGTCACATGAAAGATCTGATTTTGTTTTTATACCACAAATGCCATTTCACTTGTTCTCACACACAGGTTCCTGTGAGCCAATCAGTGTAAACACCTGCAGAGGGTCAGGGGTCATCCACCGACAAACCAGTGTGCCAATCATAAGACCCAGTGGCCCTGAATTAGACGCAGGCTTCAGTACCTTCCAGAGCCAAAAGAAATCATTGGAAGGAAGAAGACAGATAATCTCCCATCTGAAGGGACGTAAACACAAGCAATGCAAGGCTTACATGAAACCTTTTGCATGTGCTGCATACCTACCATCATGTAAACGACCAGGAGATTCTATCCCACCTTGTAGAGATCTGTGTCTGAAAACCAAGTCAAAATGCCAAGTCAGCATGGATGACTTAGGCTTTGATTGGCCAATAGAGTTAGAATGTGATGTGTTTCCTTCTTCGGCAGAAAATCCTCACTGCATTTCAGGTAACGCAGAAAGTTTGTCTTAATTTGACCAAGTGTTGCCTTCTCTGATACCTCAGTGTACCTGCACATGCACTTTCCACAGCGGGTAAACTTTGGTGCCAAAGTACCGTATTGGTAAACTGTGTAGTCACCAACATACACTCCCAGAGTCCCACTTACTGTTTACACCCGAGTCATAACAATGGAGATACTTATAATGTGCACATATTAACCAGTGCTGGTGGGGAAGACAATGTATAACATTATCCCTACTCAAAGGGTCAAGAAACATCAAACCAGTCTCAACTCCCTGGAGAGAGTAGAGTTTGGTACAGCAAGTTCAGGTGCCATGTGGCTCAGCTGGCTGGTAATAAGAACCTGCTCTGCTCTGCAGTCATGGGTTTTAAGTGTCAAGTGGGGGTAAAGGGATTTCTCCTAGGTTACAGTGTACATGTATTCATGCTCCACTGCGGGATTTGAACCCTGACCCTATGATCAGGAGTTACATCTACCTTGATCACTAATTATAGCATGTGGATTTTTATGCTCAGCGTTGAGCATGAGCATTATGCTGAGCATTTTATGCTCAGTGGTGACAAATCCTTTCATAATCATTACCCCTGTTTACTGGGTCATAAGATCACTTGAGATTAGTGCAGTCTCATTGTACATGTATGTCTTGTTGCCGAGAAGCAATAGGGCTGTTTCACAGTAGTGGCCCACCAAGAGTTTGCAACCCGTGGACCAATCACAATGCGCAAAATGTTTCAACCCTTTCCTAATGCGCATTGCCGGTTGACACGTACATGTATGGATGTGTGAACCCATTCAATTGCACATTGTGTACAGTGGCCACCTGCATTCCAAACTCTTGGCAGTGCACTATTTGGAAATGCCTGTGTTGCAGTGAAACGTCTTACCATAAGAACTTGAGGGTGATGGAAGGTACCCACTGCTATCACACCCACATACCCAACACGTAACACCAACACTACTGGACCACAATACTTGCATACAGACTCTACACTTGAGCCCTATATGAACATCCTTGCTAAATTAAATTGTTTTACTGTGCAGGATTTGTGGTTGTGTGTGAAAACCAATCCAAATGTGGCACGTTCATGTGTATCAAATTGCATAAAGGTTATTGACTTTTCAAAACAAAAGAACTACATGTCCCATTTTCTGCATTTTGTACAGTACCTATGCCGCAGTGTACACATACAGCAGTCACCAAGTTAACCAAGGATATGTTTATTAACTCCACATTTTTCCCCTTTTTAATTACAGCATTGAATTTCGGGGATGTGGCTGTGACAACATCTGACATTTCTGTTGGTGTCAACATGAGAGTTCCATGTAGTTATGATCTTTCACCTAAGATGCGGCCTGGGTGGATGATTGGAGACACTGTCATTGAAGGTTTGTCAACACCGTTTTCATCAACCCAGAAATAGGAAACCCACAACTTTTGAAGTCAGCTTCTTGTAGAGCCTTTGGCTGTTATACTAAATTTACAAACCAGTTGTTTAATTTGATCTCATAAAAATTATACAAAAAAATTCTAACTGCATTATGACAGCTTTTGTATTGCCCTTTAAAAACTGCTCATGATAGACTTGCATATACTGACCTTTTCTCAAACGAAAGAGATTGCAATCTGAGAGTTGTGCCTACATGTACATAGTGTATGTGTCTTGGACATATTATTGAATCACTAGAGCTCAGTGGCCCTGTACGGATTGACAAGACAAACTCTTACACCACAACTCTGGTCTTGGAGAATTATGTGGACTCTGCCAGTCGAGAAAATTACACCTGCTTTGTTGGGGAAGTGTCCAGGAAAGAATTTGAGAGACAGCTGTCATTGGATGAAATCTTTGGGCCAGCTCCAACCACAAGGCCACCAGGTACAGTGATTAACCTGTGACAATATCTTTAGTTCTAATGAGTGTCTCAAAGCTGGGAACATTCCAGGCCACTTGGGGTACTCTCTTGATAAGGCGGGCTCTTGAGAATAAGTGATTATAATGAACAATATTCCCAAATGTGGATAGATTATCTGAATTAAGGATGCCTGTGCAAAGCCAATATTTCAATATTAAGGCATTTTTGTATAGGAAACCATGTGCATATTCCAATTTCAGCAGCAAGTTTTCTTGAGTCATTCCAAGTATTCTCAATTCCAAATACGTGCAATTGTCTAGGTACCAGTCGAGATATTTTGTGTTGCTGTGGGACTAAGTTTGCACTCAGTCATCAAAATGTAGGGCTGAGTCATTTTAAATAATTCATTATTTGAATATTCAACATTTAATTTAATTGAATATCCAAATATTCTGTCATACTGATCAGCAGATTGTTAATAACAAACCATGTATGATTCAGTTCCAACAACACACAATTGTACATTATAACCACTATAATAGCTTCTTACATCTAGGAGTATCTCCAGCCATGATGTAGCAAAATCTACGAGACAAACAATACTTCTTGCCCTGGAAAAAAATTCTTTTCCTTTTTACATTTTTTAATGAGTAATTTACTTTTTGAATTGTGACATCTCTGTCACGTTTCATTTGAATCTGCCTGAAATAAGCCTCCATAATGCAACTTTTCTCATTTAAAACAAAACAAAAAAATTCTCCCTTTTCATGAATTTTTTTATTTGAATATTCAAATTTGGAAAAATGATGTTCGAATAATTGATAATCGATTATTTGGATATTCGGCACAGCCCTAACAAAATGCATCAAGCAACATACATGTAGTTTAAATTGTAATAATTACTTTATTGGAGTTAAGTTTATCATCGTCGCCCTTGTAGGTGTTTACATGGTTCATCCTAAGACAGTCAGTCTTCAACCAAGCTACAAGCTCTCCAGATGAACAGTTCCAATTTCTCTGTATATTGTTTGTCACATTTTGCCAATTTTGTTCATCAATGAGAACTCATAGCTCATCAGGGTTTTTAGTGAATAGGTTCTACATGTGCACATCTAAAGACCTCTTTTGTCATTTTGCCTTTTTTATATTGAATTCAAAGTGTTTCTTGGTTGTTATATCTTTACCTCCCTCTTTTCATCTTGAGAATAATACATATGAAGCAAGATATGAGATAGAGAGAACCCTTCTGCTTTGTTGGTCATAGCTCACTGTAATCTGAGGAACTCTTTTCAGACATCTAGGGGGATGTGTTAGGTAACAATAGTCTAGAGTGTGCATAGCGATTGGACTTGTTGGGAAAGGGCCCCTCGGTCTCATTTCTTGCTGGATATAGAATAATAAAGTAAGCCTACATTCAAAAACCCACCTTATGACCAGAAAATTAGTACAATATGCTTTGCACTTTCTACCATTTTGGTAGTGAAAGTTAAACACTCCACGCTCACTGCCACAGTGAGGGACAACATGATTGGAATTACACCCCTGAAAGCCAGCTAAATGATAGATGGGGAAGGAAACAAACTGCTTCAAATCAAAAATGACATCTCTGGCTTTAATATCTGGCTAACTTTGTGGAGAGTGTACTCCAGGTCTTGGATGTTCATGTTGTTGATTTGGGAACTTACTTCTGAAGAAATACAGGTAGCTTTATCCCCAGACAAACAAACATGACCCTCACATTAGTCTATTCACTGCATCAGTCTCTAAGTTAGTCACATGTATGTTTACTTATTACAATCCATGTTTTTTTCATGTATTTTATACAGTTGATGACGGGCTAAAATTACAAGACGGTTTAAAATGCATGTGTGATAAATGTACCATTGTGGTCAAGTCCATCACAAATCCCTGCAAATCCACAAGTCAGTCAATCATAAGCCAACTCAAGCTATTTGAATAAAGTCATTCCCCTGTCATTGTTCATTGCTTATACCTGTGCTGTACACTGCTTAACCGAATTATTATGATTTTATTCACAGTTGAGGGCGCTGTTCGTCTAATCAGTGGTTACTCAGTGCCGCATTCAGGACTTGTCCAGTACTACAAGGATGGACAGTGGGGATATCTCTGTGTCCCTGTTGAATGGGATGGAGACAACGCAAATGTTATCTGCAGGCAACTTGGCTATGGTCAAGCACTTTTCTCTGGAACAAATTTAAATGACAGGAGATTTGGAAGGGGTAGTGGCACCATGCATGTCTCAGCGTCCAAGTGCAGGGGCCAAGAAGCATCTCTTGCAGACTGCCCAGATGATTCCTTAGAGAAGACAGCAGGCTCTTATTACTGTAGAGACACTGTAGGGGTGGTGTGTGACACGGGATCAAGTAGGTCCACATTGGTCCTGAACCATTCTCTTTAACTTTCCAATAGTCTACACTTTGAATTATTTTTGAAATGTTATAGTGCCAAAATAGTCATATGCAAATCCCGTCAAACGTCTGCATTCAGTGTTTCATTTTCTCAAAGTAACTGTACCATAATGTTGATCTTAAGCTTAGCAATTCCAATTTGTATGTACATAGAAATAAATTCACAAAAAATTCAAGATCAATGTTGATGTTAGGTATTTGCAGATTTGTAAAGTTCTATGTAGTGTTGCTTTTTTAATGTCCAGGGTAAAACTTTATCCAAATGTGATTTTGTTTATCGGCAAAGTACACCGGTGATAACTGATGCCCCAAATAAATGTCAAAAGTGAAGTTGTGGAACATGTAATGAATCACTTCCCTATTTGGGAATGGTTTACAGGAGAGACTGATATCCGTCTGAGTAATGGAACATCACCAGATGAAGGCATCCTTGAAGTGTTCTACAATAATGAATGGGGAACCATTAATAATGTTGGCTGGGATATCTTTGATGCTCAAGTAGCCTGTCGTCAGCTGGGATACAAAGGAGTCAAATCCATCTCCCGCTCCATGTATGTAAATCATTATTTCAAGAAAACTGAAGTTTTTCACTTCTTATTTGACCTCTTGCTTTATTCAGCCAGCCCTTTTACATTCTATTGACAAAGAGTTCCAATTCTTCAATAAATTAGTGAGACTCAGAGCTTTGAATTATTTCTGTTGATTAGAAAACTGAACTTGTCGAAATGCATGCTGTGAAAGACATCGTAGTTGCATACACACTGGATGACTCTGTTAGAGTATGTTTAGCATCTAATTGCATGTGACTCATCTGACATCTTTTGTTTCTTTTTAATCTCTCATTATCTGCAGAGCGGAACCCGACTACAACTATGTTCGAACCATGTCTGTCATGTTAAGTGGAGTTGCCTGCGATGGCACAGAAGCTTCTCTGTTTGATTGTCTTAATTTATACTTTTATAATGATCCATACGGTTTCTCCTGGGATCATGATTTTGATGTCATCTTGGGATGTTCTAAAGGTATGCGTATCTTGAAGGATTATCAACCCAGGAAAAATTTTGGCATTCATAAAGATAGTTAAAAAGAAAGGTAGTAATAGTCTTGACATGTGGTAAAGTAATACTAATGTCCATTATTGTTTTGAAACAGTGATCCGTGACTACACAGCAAGTACACATAAATATTTTCACTCACATCCTTAGACTATAAGAGGTCTATACACTTGCATGCCAAGCAAAACTCGACTTTGGAATTGTGCAGTGCCCATGTGTTAGATGAATTTCTTACCCTTAGCAGTGTCATTCAATTGAACCCAAGATGGTTGGTGTCTTTCCTTTTCAATATTTTCAAATATTCTTTGAATGACATGATACTGACGGTGATTTGATGTTGTATTCTAACTTTTTAGAGGACATTGATTTGAAGCTCAGTGTTACCGCTGAAGAAAGTGAAGGTGGAGTGGATGTCAGATTGATATGCTCAACAGAAGATGTGATTACACTGGTGGGTGAAAGAGACACACCTGTATGGACATTACCATCAGGAGAGATGCTTTTTTTGGGTAAGCTATCCCAATTGCAGGTCCATCACTCAGTACAGTGCACTCCCAGTCTTGGCTTCATGTTCTGCTTCATCCTTCTTCAGCTTGTTGATGTATGAGAATCTCTTGCTCCAGCCCCTAGCTCTATTAATGAGTTTCTGCAGTACTAGTGACCTCACAGCTAGCTTTGGGTGATATAGACAGTGTGCCACCAGCCTGCTCTTCACCCTGATATTGGAAAATACCATGCATAGTGTGTTGTAGCTAAATGCTGAGGATGAGTGTCATTTCTAGCATCCATGTCAACACTGTCCAGAGCTTTCTTATGCTCAACTGTCAGCATCCTCAGTACGTTCCATATGTAACAGGCAAAATGACACGCTGTGGGGAACTTGCAAATGTAACCAAAATAAAATCTAAACCAAAGATTGTTGAGGGAAAGGTTGCAGGAAACTGAATTAATAGGGACTCAGACACCAGTATTTGACTTCAAAAAAGGACAAAAAGAATTTATTAATGAAAAAGTACTGAATAAAAAGGGGGAAAAAGGGCTAAAAGACTGAAATGACACCAAAAGACTGGAACTTTAAACAGATTAAAACCAACACAAGTGTGTTAAAACAGATCTAGTGAGGAGACTTGCTTCAATCATCGAATCACTCTTTAGAAGCAGACAAAAACCTGACTCAGGCAGAAACGCACACTCTAGTGAGGAGGAACAAATACATGAACAGTGGTATCGTCTCTGCTGATCTGCTCTCCAAATTAAGTATGGTCAGAACATAGGGGCCAAGTTATATGGGTTGATGGTCAAGCAATGGCCAAAGTATATAAACAGGGGGATACACTAACAGAAGCATACAGGGGAACTCTAAACTAAAACTGCATTGGTATAGGGGAACTACTCCTATGAAAAGATGCTAACAAAAAGTATAACAAATTTCTAGCTCTGCCACGCGTACAGGAGTAAAGAGTCGACCTTTCCAATAAAGAAACGTCTCTTGATACCATCAGTGACTGGAGACCAGATCTCTGCCCCCCCCTTGCCAAAGCTGTCTTCGTGGTCGTCTCACTCTCAGTCGATTCTATGAGAGTGCCTAGGTATTAAAAGTCATCAAATACCTCTAGGGTAGTGCCATGTCTGGATTTGATGATATTGTCCTCAATTTGAAAGTTTTGGATGGTATTCTCTCATTTGCAAATCAAATTTTGTGCTTGTCCGGTCACAAATCTCATAGGCTTGGACATGGGCTTAGCAAGGTAGTTTTGTTTGAGGATGCATTATTGTTGTTTGTTTTTCTGGCAGCTGATGCAAGACGTAACATGCAAGTTGATGGAATTGGAGTAAGCAGCAGCAGGCTAACAATCACAGGTTTCACTGATCAAGAGAATGGTGGTCGCTACAAGTGCAGGGTGACTGGTTATGAAAAAAATATCACTCTGACTGAAGCCTCAATTGGTGAGTGATTTACAGTTAGAGACTTACCTCCACATTTCTGATGCCAGTATCATGCCCCAAAAAGATAGCTTTTCATTTACCAAGCAGCAGTTTTCTGTTTTCCTAGACCAAGCTTTACACAACAAATACAGATGTACCATAGGCCTACTGACAGATTGTATGTGGTGTAGCTTTCATTTGGTGTGTGAAAGTGCTTGATAGACTGTTCCATTCTAGAGATATGACTTTTATCATAACAGGCTGTGACAAAGTTGAGACTGAACAAACTTAGGCATGGGAGATTCATTTCAAATCTTTCTGGCAACCAATATATTCCTATAAATCCTTTAAATCCTAAACTAAGGGATCAAATATCTTCACCTCACTTTCAATTCACTTTCCATATGTAACATTTCATAGTAACAATACAGTGCTGTAGTAGATGGGATCAGGTCAACTCAGACCTATAACCAACTCAGACCTATGCCAACTCGGACCCCCGAGCCTTAGACTGTTAGCAACTTTGTGAGAATGCTCTGGATAATAAATGAAACACGCAAAGCCTGGGAGCCCCAGCAGCGAAGCTTTCTGCATGGATATCAAAATATTCTTGTGTCCATAGATGTTCCAGTTTGCAACTTAGACGATTCCCGCCCACTTACGCATTCCTTTAACCCTAACACTCCTCAATCCTTCACCTGTTGGAGGACTGAGGAGTGTTAGGGTTACGCAGTACACTAGATAATCATTTAAAACTTTCATTAAACTTTAATCATTCCCGTTGCTAAAAATCTGGGGTTTACATATTGGGGCCCACCACTGAAACGTTGCGGTGTACGTGATCATAATTTATCACAATTTAATAACTTTAAAGACATTTATACACCTTAATTCAAGTGAAACGTGCACGTGGTGAACAGTCCGCTGATTTTGTATCAAATACGGGCATTTGACAAAAGTATGCCTCCAAACATTTGCAACGCATTGCGCAAAATGTGTCGACCCACTGTGCGTTTGGGAACGGGTTGTCAACAAATTTCGCTTGTGATTGGCCAAAACGTTGCAAACTCTTGGAGGCTCACCATTGTGAATCGTCGGTATTGAGCATGCCACTGTTGTAGAATTTGGAACTAAATCTTACGACATTCAAATTGTTAGCGAAAGCTTAAAAGGATTTAAGCCTATTATTTCCTACTTACATTTTCAAATTCAATTCATATGTGTTTTAACTTCAAATTCATCTCCTAAATTCATGAATTTTCATTTCCTACGTATAATTTCGTCACTTAAAGAGTTTTATACCTTAGCGAATGGTTTAAATGTCAATCTAATGTCTGAATTTAGTAAAACATTTTCACATTCCAATGGAAATAAAACTTTATTGCCTATTGGGGTATCAGAAAACAGTATATTAATTCTGACATTTGTTGGTGCAGTTAATGTCTGATTTTCTAAAGAAGCCATAGGATCTGTCAATCATTCAAACTCATTCATGGTAGTGCATGTACCAAGTCACAGGGATTCAATCTGACATGCGGCACTGACTCAGAAAACGTGGCAAGTTCATTTGGCATCCCTTGACTGCGGCAGGGTTACAGTGGGTACCGATCACCACTGCTGAGATTGAAGTGAAAAAAAGCCTAATTAGTCCTAATCCATTGACATGCAACAGAAGAAACACCTGCAGGGGTACATCACTGAACTGTAAACAAGTTTAATTTTGTAAGAAAATTGTTTTCGTTTGGGCCTCAAATATTGTTCCATTTCATTTTGTAGGAAATTAGATGAAATGGTATAAATTGATTACATACAGGCGATTCACAATGATGCTCCTCCAAGATTTTGCAACGCATTGGCTAATCACAATGCGTGAAATCTGTTGACCCTTCAAATGAAGTCTAAAACTTCAGATTTTGTGAAGTTTGAATAAAATAATGAAAGGTTGAATGAAATAGAGACAAAAAATGTCATTTAGAACATTCTAAAAATGTCTTTAGAGTGGCCTAAATTTACAATAATTAATCACACAGAAACTACCATTCCTCGGGTTGGGTCCAAGTTGATTTAGGGTGGGTCCAAGTTGGCTATTGGTCCGAATTGGTTTGGGTCCCAGTTGACTCAAAACCTGGTGGATGGAGGCCTCTAAAAAGCACAACTTGTCGAGTAGAGACCCCTAGTTGTGTTTATACATGATCATGAAATACATGTCACAAGTAACGAAACACAATTAACCATGTAACGAAAAGTGGATAGGAAATACGATACATTCACATGTATAATTGTTGGTATATAGCCTCGTGGGGAAAAAACCTTGGTTATTTATGAGATGATTATTCAAAAATTTATTTTTGTATTTACGCTTGATGACAGAAAGACTGACAATATTTTCAAGGATATGTCCACTGAACTCGATAGCTTAGGCCCCTTTCATGGTTGCCCAAAATATTTTGTTCAGGCATATGATCGATGATATTCATGACATTGCCTTGGATTTCTTCATTTTTCAAATCACTTGTGTATTAAAAATTGAAATATATGAAGTTGAAAGTTTACTCTCCCAGTTTTAAGATGCCCATTTTGTATGGAAAGGTACAACACAGCTTCTAATTATTACCTTTTTCCTGGAGTGGATCATCACAGATGTGAAGATGTGTCCTGAACCTTTTCATCCTGGTCATTCCATATAAGTGTTGTCAGCAGTGCCTATGTGATGTCACTAAAACCATGTTTCACTTGTAATCCTGTATCAGGAGAACTGTCAGTCTGATTGGGCTACAGTTTTGTACAGGTCCAAACCAAGGTGTGTTAGTGATGGAAATTAAAAGGGTTATTCTGCTCCAAAGTGGACATTGTTGACAAGTGGAAAAGTTAAGACATCTTACGAACTGCATCTCATTTTTAAAATGCCTGAAAAGGTAGAACTTATACTTGTAAATGTGATTATATATTCAGAACGTTTTGCAGAAGAAAATGAGTTATAGTTTTGACCTTTGATGATTGAATGTTTGTGACCTTTTCTGACAGTTGTGGAGGGTGCTGTTCGTCTAATCAGTGGTTATTCAGTACCGCATTCAGGACTTGTCCAGTACCACAAGGATGGACAGTGGGGATATCTGTGTCCCCATTGGAGCTGGGATATGAATGAGGAAAATGGAAATGTTCTTTGCAAACAACTGGGCTATGGTCCGTCACTTGCCATCGTTTCCCATGGTCAGATGTTTGGAACTGGGAATGGTGTTTTGCACTATGTACCTTCAGACTGCACAGGTCAAGAGGCAACTCTGGCTGAATGTCCAAATGACAGCTCGGCCTCCGGATGCGGTTTCCAAAAAAGTGTTGGGGTTGTTTGCGACACAGGATCAAGTTAGTTGATGCTTGTTTAGGCTTTGCTTTTTTGTGTTTAACATTTCTTTACAAGCATATTTTTGTAATCATACAATTTCAAAATGTAAATTTTTAATTTTTATCACGAGTTTTGCCCATGCATCATGTATAATTATGCAGGTCAATAAATGAATGATGTGACAAAATACAAGAGTTATTATAAAGAAAACTGGAATGAGAAGAAAAAGGGCAATGCAGAGACATATTCACAAGACAAAGTCTCATTCAGAAATGTCTTATTAAGTTAAGAAACTAAACAAACAAAACTAACAACAAATCATTCTGGGAAAAGATGAAAGCTAAATAATGAAAACAAACCCTAAAACAGACAAGCTAAAATGAGATGTACTGAGAGCTGGAAATAAGAGCATTTGTTAAGAACCCCTTCCAAATTAGTCCTAAATTTTAGGTACACTTCTGAAAATGCAATCTTAGATCCATCAGTTCTTTTCAAAACTTAGAAGAAAGTAACATGTTAATACATGTGTGGCAACAAATCATACACTACAATTTTCGTATTCTGGAAAATTATGCCAAATCAACTACATTGTATGTTCCTGTAGTGTGTACTTTGCACTGCTTAAGTTGTCTAATATCTGCATAGATTTACTGATGAAAGATTCAGAAAGCAGTGTCAGTAATAAATGACCTGAAAACCAGGTTTGTCAATGATTTTGACACTATGCTGGGCAATTGGAATTAGCATCACTAATGAATCCAACACAAGACAGTTAGTGTTTAGAGGTATTTAGGATTTGTTTATTATGGCATTTATCTTGATTGAGAACTTGAAGGATACTGGCATTTTGCGCTTTAGCAGCAAATTAATAGTTTCAAATAAAATTACAAGTGAGTTGGGTCCAGGAATAAATTGCCATTGAATTTGTGAACATTTGGAATGCATCATTTTGTCAGTGTCAAAGTAACATTTTATATGTTGCAGGATATTAATTGATCATTTCTGATGCACAGGAGAGACTGATATCCGTCTGAGTAACGGAACTTCACCAGATGAGGGCGTGCTTGAAGTTTACTACAATAACGAATGGGGGACCGTTTGTAACAAAGGCTGGGATGTCAAGGATGCTGAGGTAGCCTGCCGTCAGCTGGGATATAATGGAATCAAATATCTCCCATCCAGCATGTATGTAATTATTAATTTATGATTAAGGCAACTTAGATTTAAATTGACGACTTGAAATTAAGTTTAATCCTAAAGTTAGCATGCAACACAGCTACCGCGGTGTGATGCATGCTTTATTTTGTGATAGATTACTATTGACTACATATATAACGGTTTTTTGCCCTTACCCAACGCATATTAAATAAGCACTGCATGCTCAGTGCCTGTCCGAGAGCCTGCGAAAAAACCTCACAAGCCCACTCGGGTGGGACTCGAACCCACGACGACCTGCTTACGAGTGCAGATGTCTTAACCACTCGACCACCGAGCTTGCCGGGGTCGGCTGGCCGGTCCGAGTCAAATGAAGCAGCGGGTACCGCGAACTATTTTCAAGATGTATTTTCAAGATTACTATTGGTATAATGTTTTGTTCTTAATTTCTCATGATCTTTACGTAGGCTTGGATTTCGTTATTTCTATGAACGGTTCACATCTGTCATGTTCGGTGATGTTGACTGCGATGGCACTGAAGCTTCCCTGTTTGATTGTCCCAAGTCAAACTGGTACATCACTCATTTGTCTTGTGCCCATGATAATGATGTCATCTTGGGATGCACTGAAGGTAAGTTTGTTCAAAGCAAGATAGTATCAACCAAAGAGAGATTTTGTCAACTTTCAACAGGATAACCTCTGAAATGGAGCTAAATAATTGTCATGCAACTTAACCAAGTTTAATCCTATTCAAGTTTCTGCCCAAAGTTTGATGCTTCACTATGTAAAGAAATGTGCAACCTTAGTTCTTCACACTTGTATGCCAAGGAAATCTTGATGAGATGTTCAACTGGGCATACTTAGGATTGCTGATTTATTCAACTCAGTTACAGTGCAGATTCTAGAAGTCAACAGAGATTCCTGGAGTTAACAGCAAGGTTATCTGATGAGTTGAAATACATAAACAGTAAACCTCGGATCAGTCAGATCCAATGGGACCTACCAATTTTATTCGACTTGGGCAAAAAGAAGAAAACGGTATGCTTTACACCGTCGTAGATGACCAGCCATAGAAGGGCCATAGGCCACAAAGCATGAAATGAAGTAACAACGTAATGTTCCTTACATCAAACATTATTTATTTGTACATTGCACATACATGCATTGTACAAAAGAAAATCAAAGCAGGGTTGTTTCACTGATCATGCCACACGAGTTCATACTTCAAGCATTGCCATGTTTAACAGCAGTCACAGTGTAAATATACTTCAATTTATCCAAAGTAATTGAAAATCCAATTTAAACCAATCTGACTTACCTGAGGTTTACTATATTTCACAATGAAGATGTCCTTAACACAAACAAGCATGGAAGTTATGCTGCTGCTAGTATTATGTTGAGTGAAATTTACCTCTCAAATGAGGATAAATTGTGCTTAAACTTAATAAAATTGCCACCGCCTCCATAGCCGGCGATTGGTACTTTTTGAATCATCTTGTGAGTGGACTGATTTTACTAGTGATCTTTGTTTCTGTTTTTCTTTTAGAAATCAATGATTTGAAGCTGAGAAATTTCACAGTTGTGGAAACTGTTAGTGGAATAGATGTATCGATGATATGTTCAGCTGAAAATGTGCCGAGGTATGCATATGAAGTAGAGACACCTGTGTGGACATTACCTTCAGGTTCCATTTTATCTGCTGGTAAGCAATCTTAATAATAATATCTACAGATTTATATAGCGCACTTATCTGTAAACCGATCAAGATGCAATCCATTATTATTACCTCTGTTCACTGGGCCCATGAAACGTTCTAAGACCATCTCAGCTCCTTGGGGAGTATACAGCTCAATGCTGTCTTTTCGGCACAAAGCAGCTAAATTAACCACAATAACCATCTCTTCCCTCATAGGTACCCAATTACTCCTGGGTTACCCAATTACTCCTGGGTGGAGAGACGCAATGAGTAACAGTGTGCCTTGCCCAAAGGCACACACACCATGAACCCGGGCTGGATTTGAACCCGCCAACTATGAATCCAATGTTCTTGACCACAAGGCCACGGCACTCCATGGCACTCTTAAATGCTTGAACCCTAAGAAGCCCCTCTTCCTTTATCAGTTCAGTTGATGTCATTCATTCCAGGCACCTGTTTTGTTCATCATGAGTTGCTATTATTTTCATAATGACAACACTTTTTTTCTCTTCCAGTTGAAACTTACTTGCAGACAGGTAGAGTAGGCATTTATTTGGCAAGTAAGGATTTCTCAAAGTTTGTATGAAACACACCCTTTTAGGAGATGTTACCCTCTTCAAGATTGTATTTATTCATAAAAGATGCCTTTCATCAATTATGCTGTTTATTTTTCATTTCAAGGTGAAGAAGAAGGTAATATAAGAACAAGTTTTATTGGATCACGAAGCAACAACTTGTTAGAAATCACAGGATTCACTGATGAACAAGATGCTGGTATCTACCTGTGCACAGTGACTGGCTATCATAAGAACGTTACACTGACTGAAGCTACCATTGCTGTCAGTGGTAGGTATCAAGTGCATGTAGGAACCAAATACCTGAGTTTTTGAGTGTTGATGTCATGAACCACTTCCAAATTAATAAACCAGACAATGATAACCAACTTTTTTATAACAGAAGAATAGGAAAATGAAAGAAGTTGAAAACTTTTTTTGAGAATGTTTCTATAGATTTAATCAAGCAACAGGGAATGCTGACACAAATTTGACTTATACATGAAAATGTTAATAAGCATTTGGCTGCACAGGATTAATAAGTTACTCATAAGTACAAGGTTCTTTGTTTTCCTTGTGGAATGCTTTGATTTCCTGGCATTTGTCCTCTTCCGTCACATTCGTGGTACAAAGGTACCAATTTTTTGAGTTTCAGTAGAGTAGAAACCTGGTTCTTGTTATATCAAGCCTGATGAGGGGCTTACACTTTGACTTTTGATATTCACAGAGGAGCTGAATAATGTGTGTTCTCTGTCAATATTAAGAACCTCATGCCAGCAGTGGTTCTCGTACAAGTTCATTCTCGGTCTTATCAACTGTTTGCATACAGTTAACACTCTTTACAGTAATAAATGAGTTAAGATTTGCAAGCAGTTTATCCCTAGACAATTCACTGTTTTCATATACCTGTTTACTTTGTGCATCTTTAAAGCAGAGCTTTCAGAAGACCAAATTCCTCCAAGGCCGTCAAATCTTCAAGTTGCTCCATCCCATAATTCAGTGACTGTGTCATGGACAGCTCCCAGTGATCAGAGCATTATGATTAGAGGATACATCTTGGGATATGGTGCTAGTTTACCAGATGGAATGACAGTACGTTTGTCTGCCTCACAGTTTAAGTACATCATAACTGGACTGATGCCTGAAACTCTCTACGTACTGAAATTGCGAGCATTCAATCGTATAGGTGAAGGACCTTCTCTTTACATTGATGCAATGACGTCTTCAGTACCAGGTAATAAACAGGGCTTATTCCTCGGCCAGTGCATGGATTACTTGGTACCAATCGATCGATTGCACCCGCTAAAGCATGTGACTTATCTGCTCTGAGCGGAACATAAGAGGGCGTGCTTTTTTGGGTATATTAAGAACCTCATGCCAGCAGTGGTTCTCGTACAAGTTCATTCTCGGTCTTATCAACTGTTTGCATACAGTTAACACTCTTTACAGTAATAAATGAGTTAAGATTTGTAAGCAGTTTATCCCTAGACAATTCACTGTTTTCATATACCTGTTTACTTTGTGCATCTTTAAAGCAGAGCTTTCTGAAGACCAAATTCCTCCAGAGCCGTCAAATCTTCAAGTTGCTCCATCCCATAATTCAGTGACTGTGTCATGGACAGCTCCCAGTGATCAGACTGTTAGGATTAGAGGATACATCTTAGGATATGGTGCTGGTGTACCAGATGAAATGACAGTCCGTTTGTCTGCCTCACAGTTTAAATACATCATTACTGGACTGATGCCTGAAACTCTCTACGTGCTGAAACTGCGAGCATTCAATCATATAGGTGAAGGACCTTCTCTTTACATTGATGCAATGACGTCTTCAGTTCCAGGTAATAAACAGGGCTTATTCCTCGGCCAGTGCATGGATTACTTGGTACCGATCGATCGATTGCACCCGCTAAAGCATGTGACTTATCTGCTCTGAGCAGAGCAAAAGAGGGCATGCTTTTTTGGGTATTCACCGTATAGACGTGCCATGAGGTACGTAGGTATATGCACATTTGACATGGAGCACATTGAGTACGTGTAACTAATTTATTTCAGCTTGTACGGTTTTCGCATTCATGCATAACGCGTGCAAGAACCCGCTTGTAACCACCTGTCTTTCTTTCGCCGATTAGGGGGTGCACTTCAGTTCAGGCCAAGTTACAGTATGGTACCCATCAGTAGTCTGAGTACAGTACCTAGCGTCGGCTTCATTTTTGGTGAATGGTACTCATGAACCACTTGCTTTTGGTGGACACTGTGTTTGTTTGTATTCAGTACCCAATATAGGTCACTTGACATAGCAGGCCCAATCAGTCTATTGATTGAGGATAACTTCTGGTTTCATCAAGATTTTTTTCCTGTTTTATTTTACACTGTGTTTTTTTAAGTTGCCACTTGTGGAACTTTTGTCAACTTGGAACAGTCATTTATCATGTAAGACCACCTCTACCATTGGCAGAGGAAGAGGGGACTTTTTGACTGGAGTTTATCCCCCCCCCAAGTTTTGCAGGTCCTACAATGGGTTAGGCCTTAATGGATCAGCTTATTATTGGCTGATACCTGATGGTCTCTCAACTGGCTCCCTCCTCTTTATAAATTCTTCTGCTCTGCTGGTGCTCTTCACATCTGAAATATCATGTCAAAGAAATGAAAAATGAATTGTATGGGTGGGTTGAAAGCCCCATGGTTTAACCTTATGGGGGCCATCCCCCCCAAGAAAGAATGAGGTTATCTGTTTATTAATCAGAGTGAAGACATTAATTGTCTTAAATGGATGTTGTTTTGCGTGGACAGAGCCATTTTGAGTAGCTGTTTATTTATGATTAGTGCCAAATGCGAAAGTGGACCGGGGACATTACGTGTTTCATGAGAAATTTCACCCTCCCATTTGTAAGTTGGTCATTGCATGGAGAGATATAGCACGAATTGCATCACCATTTCCTGGATTGGATCATCACAGATTTGAAGATGTGTCCTGAAACATTTCATCTTGGTCATTCCATATAAGTGGTGTCAGCAGTGCCTATGTGATGTCACTAAAACCATGTTTCACTTGTAGTCCTATATCAGGAGAACTGTCAGTTTGATTGGGCTGCAGTTTTGTACAGGTTCAAACCAAGATGTGTTTGAGATGGCAGTTGAAAAGGGGTTATTCAGTACAAAAGTGGGCACTGCTGAAAGCTTTGTGAAAAGTGGAAATTTATTATGTCTTGCAAACTGCATCTTATTTTTAGCTTGTCCCTACTCAGGTAAAATGCCTCTGGTGCTCACAAGAGGTGGAACTCATAAATGTAGTTACGCATTTAAAACTTTTTTCAGCAAGAAATGAAGTACAATTGCAAGACAGTTTTGGCCTCTGATGACTTAATATTTGTAATTTTTTACAGTCGTGGAGGGCGCTGTTCGTCTAATCAGTGGTTACTCAGTGCCGCATTCAGGACTTGTCCAGTACTACAAGGATGGACAATGGGGATATCTCTGTGCCCCTTTGATATGGGATGAGGACAATGCAGATGTAGTCTGCAAGCAACTTGGTTATGGTCCTGCACTTTTCATTGCTTCACTCGGCCAGATGTTTGGAACTGGGAATGGCGTTTTGTATGTCTCAGGGTCAAAGTGCACAGGTCAAGAGGCAACTCTAGCTGAATGTGCAATTGACTCCTGGGACATCAGAGCAGGCTGTAGTCACAATTCTGATGTTGGGGTCGTGTGCGACACAGGATCAAGTAAGTCGATATTTGTCCTGAGCTATTCTTTTTAAGAACCCTTTCTAAATCACTCCTACATTTTAGGCATTCTCCTGACTATGGATTAAGCATATTAATGTCTCAAACAATCCATCATTCCTTTTTAGAACATAATGCACAAAAGAACTTTACATAGTGCTACCAGAAACTGTTGTCCTACTATTAGGTGTCCACTATGGAATCCTTGAAATCATATCCCACACTTTCAGAAGAACACTTGAATTATTACCAAGAAAAATCAACCATGGTTCTGCAGTTTGTACTTTGCACTGCTTAACTCATCAAAACTCTGCATAGATTTACTGATCAGTTTTTAAAAAAAGAGGGTGTGCCAAACCAGGTTTCTGGCAGTTGGAATTTACATTAGCAGTGAATCTAACACAAAATCATTCAACACTTGGAGGTAAATTGACAGATTTGGTGAAGTAATTATGGCTGCTTTGTCTGGATTAACGACTGCTGAAATGATAATAATAGTGGTGTCTGTGTGCAGTGTGCAGCAGAAATTACCATCAGAAAGACTCAGCAGTGTTAGGTCCAGGACAGAATTTCCAGTAAAGATGTGGACATTTGAATTAATATTTTTGTCAATGTTAGTTAGTCATAATTTAACGAGTCATACAATTTTTGTGAATCATTTTTCATTTAAAGGAGAGACTGATATCCGTCTGAGTAACGGAACATCACCAGGCGAGGGCGTACTTGAAGTTTATTACAACAACGAATGGGGGACCGTTTGTAACAAAGGCTGGGATATCAAGGATGCTGAGGTAGCCTGCCGTCAGCTGGGATACAATGGAGTCAAATATCTCTCCTCCTTCACGTAGGTCATTACGAAGGAAAGCTGAAGTTTAGTTTGACTACTTAAACCTGAGTTGAACTCTAAAAAGCAACCCAGATGAAAGTATTTGTAACATTGTATGATGGCATGGCATATTTTATGATAAATCCGTATAATATTTTGTTTTCAATTTCTCATCATCTCCAGGCTTGCGTTTGACTATAATAATGACCGGTTCACATCCGTCATGTTTGGTGAAGTCGATTGTAATGGCACTGAAGCTTCCTTGTTTGATTGTCCCAAGTCAAACTGGTACATTGATGATTTTTCATGCAGCCATTATAATGATGTCATATTGGGATGCACTAAAGGTACATGTAAGTTTGTTCAAAGCAACATACATGTAGTATCAACCAAAGAGAGATTATGTTAACTTTTAACAGGATAACCACTGAAATAGAACTGCGTAATTTTCATAAAATTTAACCAATTTAATCTCATCCTAGTTTCCCGCCCAAACTTTGATGCTTCAATGTGTAAAGAAATGTGCTCCTACAAGATCTACGCTCCTACAAGAGCTTAGATCAAGCGAGTTTGGGATAATGGAAAATTCTACTCAATTATGATATCAGGTTCTTGAAGTCATCAGAAGTTCTAGGATTTAACAGCAAAGTTATTCGACAAGTTGAATGCACTTAACACAAACAAGCATAGAAAAAGCTCTAGTTTTAGAACTACTTGGAGTGAAAATTATCCCTGAAATTAGGATGAATCGTCGCTTACGCATGCCACCCAGGTACCAGAATTTCCTGTACTTACACTAGAGAAAAGTGCCGAGCCTCCCAACCTGTTGTTGGTTCACATTGTTTTCATTTTGAAATATTTTTTGAGTGGAATGAATTTAACAGTGATCCATATTTTCATTTTGGCTGTTTAGAAGACATTGACTTGAAGCTCAAAGATTTCACAGTTGTGGAAACCGTTAGCGGAATAGATGTCTTTCTGACATGTTCAACTGAAGATGTGCTGATGTATGTGGGTGAAGCAGAGACACCTGTGTGGACATTACCGTCAGGTTCCATGTTGTCT